GTTTGGTGATTATTGTTGTGCTGCTGCTGCTGCTGCTGCTGCTGCTGCTGCTGCTGCTGCGGCATAGCTCCGCACCCCACACGCTGGCTGGGGCTTATCACGTATCTATTGATGTGGTTTTTTGTATTTTCTTTCGTTTATTGATTTATTTAATTCTATTTAAGATGCAGTCCTTTCAGAAGCCAGAGAATGCTCTTAAAAGAGCTAACGAGCTGCTGTCGATCGGGCAGCAGGAAGCTGCTTTGAGGATATTGCATTCAGCGATTGGACACAGGAGATTCAGGTGTATATACACTTCAATTTCTTCAGCTTTCTTTCGTCTTTTCTCTCTTTACTCTCTTTTACACCCTTCTACTTCACCCAAACTCGCAGCAGCAGCAGCAGGAATACCGCGAGGTTGCTGCTGCTGCTGCTGCTGCATGCGCTGCTGCTGCTCACCAAGCTGCAGCAACAGAAACAGCTTTTCATAGGCTCTCTTCTGTATTCCTTACAGCGCAGAAGCAGCAGCAGCAGCAGCAGGGGTGGTGGTGGTGGTCGCAGCAACAGCAGCAGGAGCAGCATCCGTTGCTGCTGTTGCTGCTGTTGCTGCTGCTGTCTTGCTGGAGTTGTTGCTGCTTCTTTCTCAGCCTCAACAAAATGCTGCTGCTTCAAGTGCTGTATTAGGGATGTGTGTGTGTGCGTGTTTGTTTTTTGTTTATCTCTGCTGCTGCTGCTGCTGTTGCTGTTGCTGTTGCTGCTGTTGCTGTTGCTGCAGTGTCTGTTGCTGCTGCTGCTGTTGATGTTTGTTGCTGCATGTTTGTATATCTGTTATTTGTATCCGCCTTAATATCTTTTCTTCTTTTTCTTTCGTTACTACTACGTCTTTGTTAATTTTATTTATTAATTTATTATTGTTATATTATTATATCTTTAAACAATTTATTTATTTTAAATACTATTTATCTTTGTTTTCTATCTCCTCTCTCTTTACCTCATTGCGGTGTATGTGCAGGTCTCAAGGCTGGGATGCAGTGCAGGAAGCAATCATGATGAGACATGTACAGCTCTGCGTAGACGAAGGCAAGCTCAGACTAGCTAAAGACGGGTAAGCAGCAGCAGCAACAGCAGCAGCAGCAGCAGCAGCAGTAACAGCAGCAGTAGCAGCAGTAACAGCAGCAGTAGCAGCGACACAAGAGCGGCAACGGTGGCTGCTGCTGTTGCTGCTGCTGCTGTTGCTGCTGCTGCTTATCTTAGCATCGCTTAGCCTCACCGCTGTCCCTTTGCGCGCATTCTGTCTGTTCTACGCGACAATAATAAATTAAAGCACATATTATTTATTTATTTATTTATTTATTTATTTATTTATTTATTTATTTATTTATAGATTGCATCAATATAGAATCGTATCGCAACACGCAAATGCGCAGTCGCTGGCGAAGGTCGTCGCTGAGCTGCGTTCGAGAGCAGAGGCTCGGCTTGCTGCAGCAAGAGCCAAAGTCGGAGCAGATGCTGTAAGCAACCTGCTGCTGCTGCTGCTGAGGGTGCTGCTGCTGCTGAGGCTGCTGCTGAGGGTGCTGCTGCTGCTGCTGAGGGTGCTGAGGGTGCTGCTGCTGAGGGTGCTGGTGCTGTTGTTGAGGGTGCTGCTGCTGAGGGTAGTGGTGGTGCTGCTGCTGAGGGTTCTGCTGCTTCTGATGAGGGTGCTGCTGCTGAATGTGCTGCTGCTGCTGCTGATAATGCTGCTGCAGTTGCTGCTGTTGCAGTTGCTGCTGCTCCCGAAGTTAACATCGTATGCCGCTGTGGTGCAGCAGAGATCCTCGTTGCATTTGTTAGCCCACAGTTTAGGGTTTAGGGTTTAGGGTTTAGGGTTTAGGGTTTGTGGTTTAGGAGCCTAGCGCGCCTGAGGATCTCGATGTAGAGGCAGAGACACCGGAGAATTTGTTGCTCTCAACCTTGCAAGTAAGAATATAAATATAAATATAAATATAAATATAAATATAAATATAAATATAAATGAAGGACAGAGTAATATGTCGTTAAAAGGATATAAAAAAATAAACAGACAGAAAATAATTAAACTGAGTCTTTAATATTTAAACGCAAACAAAAGTTAATTAAAAGAGAGACAGAATAAGATATAAGTACAGATAAATATAAATATAAATAAATATAAATATA